TGATGCATAATTTAGATCTGCTTATTAGATGGTTCTGTCATTTAAAATTCAAGTAATGGAAACCATTGATATTTTCCTGTAGCTTATGAACAGATGGAGAGGCTTTACAAGTCTCTTTGACTGATGTAGATTAAAGTTCTATAACACTTACAGAAAATATTTTTCAGAAAAAATGCTCTATCTTCACATGGCTTCAAGTAGAGGTCTTGTATTACTCTGTGCATTATTTCTCCATTTGAAACGATACTTCTGGTATTATTTTGGTATAGTTTTCTTTGAGACAGACATGGGTATCAAAGACATGTTAACATTTAAGAAACAGACTGATAGAAAATTGAGGTTCTCATTTTGTGGCATTGGAGAGTGAACCCAGGGTGTGCACACTGAGCCACATGCCAAGACCTTGAATTTTCTCTTTTCAGTTTTGAAATAGGTTCTCCCCACGTGGACAACTCTGCTCTTGTCGAAGCCTCGCACAGTGCTGGGATTACAGGCATGGCCTTCTAGGCCCAGTAAAATTTAAAATTCCTGGTGTCTTGTATTGTGAATTTCCTAAAACAGTATTACTTTTCTATTTAGTTTCCTAAATTGGTACAAAAGTACACAATTTAATGAGAAGATGGGTACACTTGCTTTGCCACAGTGTGTGACAGAGTGGCTTGCTAGTCCTCTCATGCTTGTTGTCCCCAACCTTCCAAACTACAGGAAGTCATGATATCCTGGGAAGAATCTGTTTTAAAACAATGACAGCAGGCTATTTGGTAATGCATATTATAAATGCAAGTTCCTTTCATTTTCCCCATCATATTTATAGAATAAAATGCATGGAAATGTGTCCTTACATAAGCCCATATATCCATTAAACACATAGGGGCTGGGGATTTAGCTCAGCAGCATAAGCACCTGCCTTGCAAGCAGGCGATCATGAGTTCAATCCCTGGTACTGATTAAAAAAAAAAAAAAAAAAAAAAGAAAAATAAAAAGAAAGAAAAAAAAAAACATAGCCATATAAATATGCAAGAAGCCATCCCACGTTACAGTCAATCAATTTTAAGAAATTATCTTGAATGTTTAAGCACTGAATTGGTATGTGTTAAAGTGCAGCTGAAGAAAGTTTTATTTATTAGCATAACTATTATAGTTATAAACAAATATAGCTAGCTGTGAGAAAGTCTCTTTTGAGTTATTTATGTGTGAGATACATGTTTTGCTGACATTAACATTCAAATGGATATTATTTCATCTTGTAATTGTGTCACATTTGCTGTTTAATTGCTTCATATGAGAAATATTCCTGCTCAAAGAACCTTGGTTTCTAAAGAAGTGGCTCTTCTGTTTATAAATATGTTCTTTCTTTTTCTCTGAACGATGTAATTCAGAATGACAGCATAGTAAAACGAACGTGACACAAAGACTTGTAATTTTTCAGGGGAATTAAATTTATCTCTGCAAAACAGGACAACTTCTTTGTTTCATAGGATTCCAAACATTTTTTACCTATTACAGTTTCAGACAGTAGTTCAAATGTGCGTGTAATATAATAAAAATAATTTAATTACAGTGATTTACTTGATAATCTCTTTTGCTCTCTCATTTCTCTGTTTATGAATGGTAGCAGTTCGATGCATGCCAGACTCTTCAGATTCCATTGGAATGCTATGGTTTAACAATTGCAGATAAAGGAGGATGATAATCTTTTATTTAAATATCATGTTAATTTATAGGGAAATTGTACTTCTGAGTTTAAAAACCTATAACTTATATTCATTGATCTTGACCAAATGCTTATTCTCTATAAGGTTCAAGGTCTTATAGGTAAATTGTGCAGGATCATATATGCACATGAGTGCATTCTAAACAGAATACTCGTTGAACAGGAAATAGTACCAAAATTAATAATTGGGATAATATTGAACTCAAAATGTCTGCACAGAAAAACAAATAATCAACAGATTGAAAAGACAACCTACAGAATGACAAAAACATTGCCAGCTATTCCTCAGACAGAAAACTAAAGTCTAGAATGCAGAATGAACTAAAAGAAATTGGATACTCAAAAATATAAGACCTGATCACAAAATGGAAACTGAAATGAATGTATATTTCACTTCACATAAGAATTACAAATGGCTAATTGATGCATGAATTAATGCCTTAAATCTCAGGCCTTGGAGAAATTCATATTAAAAGAACATTGAGATTTCATCTTACCCAGTAAGATTGACCATTAGTAAGAAATCAGATGATAAATTCGGGTAAGACTGTACGGAGAAAAGCAACCCTTCTGCACTGTTAGTGAGACTGTCAACTGATACATCCACAAAGAGAATCAGCATGGAAATTAACCAAACACTGAAACTTGAAAGTCCACTTGACCTAGCCATGTATCTTCCAGGTATCTTCCTGAAAGAGTTAGACACCATATGACAGTTATACATGTACACTTATCCATGTTTAAACAACACAATACATATAGCTTAGTCTTGGAAGAAACATGTGTGTCCATCACCAGGTGAATGGATAAAGAAAAATTGGTTTTTATACATAAGACTGACTCAGCTATAAATAAAGGTAAACTTGTGTCATTTTTAGGCAAACAGATTCAACTTGAGACTATAATATTAAGCGAATTAACATCAGGCACATGAGTTTAAATATCTTCATGGTTTCTGTTATATGAGAATCTAAAAGTACAGATGAGCAAAATGAAAGAGAGATCACAGGATGTGGTGAGATAGTTCTTTTTCAAAGAGAAAGGGAATCAAGAAATGTAGGAATGAGGGAGAGAAAGGGATGAAGAGGGAATCAATATGTGTAATAAAAAAGTACCACTCCAATGAAGACAGCAAGTATCAGGTATTGCAAATGTAGGAAGAAAAAGAGGGAAATACCACGAGGTAGGTGGTAGAGGAGGGAGGGAAGAGAAAGAGGACCAAAAAAGATTTAAGGTGAATAAAGAACATGTAACAACTCTGTGCAAGGAATGTAAATATCGTGTACTATAAACATGTACAATGAAGAATATGATCTGGAAAATACTGATCTCGATGTAGTGAAAAGTTAAAAAAAAAAAAAAAGCAGTAATGGCTAAGTTTCTGAAACTGGATTCATTGTTTTACCAGTTGACTTTTCATCCCTTGTATATTTTCCTAATGGATCATGCCTAATAATGCTTAGACCTAAAAATTAATACTTCAGTACCAAAGAGATCTACTACAGTACTGTACCCAGATTCTTTTTCATTAAATAAGAACTGAAAAGGATCTTCAGGTTACTGTGAGATGCAGCACACCACGCATTTTCTTAAGTGTTTGCAGCCTCTCTGACACCGACCTCATCATGTCATGTGTGTCACGCTATTTGCCTGAGGTCTGCCTTATTTGTCTACAAACCACCCCTCACCCCTATCCACAGGGACTGTACCTGGCCTCCAGTATTGGTTTTGTATCCTGCTATGAAAACCTCGACTTCATATATCATGTAAGCGGGAAAATTTTTATTATCTGGGATACATTTGCTGTTTTATAAACTCCAATTTCAATATGATTTATATGTTCAGGCCCAAGCTCCTAGTGCCATCCTTTACATAGAAGCGAATTGTTCTTATCTGTCCTGTTCAACTCCAGCTTGCTACACTTAAACATAAAAGAATGAAAAACACAGGAAAAGGAAGAGGAAGGGAAGGAGAAAAACTATAACTGAAAAGTGTTGGAGTTGGAATCATATTCTTCAGTAAGTCCATATGCTATAGACTTAAGGTGCCTTGTTTGTTTCCTTTTAATTTCTTCCTTAATAGCAAAGGAAAATATTATTCTGTATTACTAAACAAATATAAGCAGTTGTGATAAGCACTTTATAACGTAAAGTATGACTTCTTATCCTGTAATAAGCTTATTTTTAATCAACAAAGGTAAATTCTATACATTTATAATATACAAGATAACCTTTTATGATATATATATCGGGAAATCATTCAGTTGAGCTAATTAACCTGCATTGAACTGTGGTAATTTCTAGTTGCGTATGATATCTTTCTGATCACTAAGGAAAAAAATCCTTAAGAAAATATCCGATGACAATATTTTAAAAATTTGACAGAGCAGAATAGTGTATGTAAATATATAGCCAAAAAATGAAATAGCCATTTAGTTATAAATATTCTCAGTATTATATATTTTATTACTTGGTCTCTAAACTGTTCTTTGACAGTGGGAAGGGGAAACACATTTTTAATTACCCAGGCAACTAACTACCTAGTAATTTAATCAGGTTATTTGTAAAACCAAGAATAAAAGCATTCTGTTCCAGTATTATAAATTTAGAAACCCAGAAGCAATACCTGAAAATGCACCAGGAAGTGAATAGGTTCTGATTGGTGTTAAATGTAATACTGAAAAAGAAAACTAGGTGAAATCCAAGTGAGAAGTACTCATTTTCGATAGAAAACAGAGTTATAGAGAGGACACAGGTGTGAATCATTCTATTACCATAGAAACTGTAGCAATTTTCACGCATTGCAAAACTAAAATGAAATAACTACTCAGAATTAAAGTACCGTAAATAAAATCAATATTACCTGATATATGGAAATCGTTCGCCCATATAATTGCTAGAAAATGTATAGATTTCTTACACAAATCATATGAAATATGAAAAGCATATTTATTATAAATCTAATGTCTCCCATCATACTTTGCATGAATAAATATAAATGCTTTTCTTAATAAGTTATCAGAGTCAGATCCCACTTATTGTAAGTATTTCAGTTTAATAAGAATTAACAGCACATGACTATGGTCAGTGATTTCTATTTCATATGAAAACATTAAACATGCTTTTCTTGAACATTTAAATTTTAAAAACATGTAATTTTTATCCATTAGCTTGTGCTTTCTAAATAACAGAAATATATGGGAGGTATTTCGATTTATGTAGCATACAGTGACATTATAAATAATAATTTAAATAGCATTCCTAAGATTTCTTAGGATGTAACATACTTTTGGGGAATCGAGGTGGATTGTCATTGACATCAGTGAGGGTAATGTTGACAATTGTGGTTCCAGCTAATCCTCCCAGCTGTCCTCCCATATCCTTGGCTTGAATGAGTACTTGGTATTGTTCTTTGACTTCTCTGTCCATGTTTGGCAAAGCAGTTCTAATAATACCTTGGGGGAAAATAATAATACAACATATGTATCATATATACTGTGCTTTCCAAACCAAAACGAGGTGGCAACAACACAGTGTTATATCCAGATTCACTAATGAGTATGTTGGCTAAATTAATAAGTCTTTTACAATTTAAAACACTCAAAATTGCTCAATACTTAGGATATAATTTACTTCATTATGGATCACTAAGAAACTGACCAATGAACAGTGAATACCTGGATGACAAAATGAATGTACAAATAATTACATTCAAAATCAGGAATCTTATAATATCCACATTTCCATGTGGTCCTCATTTTCCATACTTGTGGCCAAGTACAGAACTAATTTATATTTATAAAGGAATAAGTGAAACCTTTGGGGTTCTTTGCAAGTAAATTCATAAAGAAATTTTATACCAAATTCCAATTTGTACTAAGTGATTGTAGAGGTAGAAAGAAAGACTTTTGCTGTAAAGCTACATGGTTTTAAAGTGTGGTTTCAAAAAGAAGTAGCATATGTGAAGAACAACATAAACGTCAACCATGAAGACAAACATACACCGTTCAAATCAGAGATGCAATATACAACCGCATTTGATCTGTGCTTTCTGCCATCTACTTACCAAATGCTGTTTTGTTGCTAATTTGGACTGAAACACAGTCTGAGATTTGTTCTGACACTTGGCAGGAAATAGTTACAAAAAAGACATCTTCATTTTTGTTACTGATGTTTTATTCATGAATTGGTACTGACACCATTTTGATTCAATCTGTTTGTCGTCTCCTCAGCTCAAGTTTCTGAGGCTTTCTTTGCAAATCTCTTTCCCTAAGACTTTTCATCTCTGTGTTTCAGTGTTTTGGTCCTACAGACCTTAAATTCTGTGACTTCTGTCTGAAGTACAATGAGCTCAACTTCTAGATAAATGCCTGGGTTTAGCTGATGACCATGCTTCCTTTCCCTGTTGTTAACCAAGGTTTAAAAATACTTCGTTAATTTCCAGTAGGGAAGATATATAAATATATACATTCTTCACTTAATTCATTGCTGTGTAAGAATTCCATTATACATAAGAAGAGAGGGAAAAGTAGAAAAATTTGTGGAGTCTTTTCTCTCTGGTTGTTTGTTGAATTATGTAAAATGCTGTCCGCCTCAACTAGTTAAATTAAAAACTTAAGATGAAATTGAGAATAAAAATAAATAGGTGGTATTAATCATTTTACGAATCAATGCATGGTAGGTGAATTGTTAAAACTGTCACGAACTCTCACCATACCAACACTTTGTCCTATCACTAACTCTTCCCATGTCTGACAAGTGACCTGCCTGAACTTCCCAGCTTTCTCCTAACCTGAATGCAATGTGGGAGCGTTTGATAAGAGCGGTGGCTAGTTGATGAAGTTTGAAAGTCAATATCTATTGATAACAATGATGTACTTCCTGCTCCACATCCCCTCTGAGTCAAGTAAAACTGTTTCAAATAGACAAAGTATATAGTCTGCATATTTTTGAGAGGCAAGATTTGGAGAATCAGGAAGCCTATGATATTCAGCATGAAAAAATAATCTTTGTATTGTTTTGTAAAGCAAAATTCCTGGGGAAATTTTATTTTTCATGAAGCTGATCTGCTTATGTCTGTTCATTGCATACCACCTGCTTCAGAACTGAAAACAAACAAATACAGACTTTGTAATAAGGGGAAACTTCTTAGAGGAATGAGCTAAAGTATTTCAAGAGTAAAAGGAAGGAACAGTGCTGCTTCTCAAATCTTAAGTTTTGATCTAGTTATCTATTTATATCTTTCAGTATATGTATGAGATTACAGCAACCAACTCGTAGGACCATCGCTGAAGACAAAAATAAATAATAAAGAACAGCATAAATATTCCACCAAGGGTACCAAAATTTTAATTAATTTCACATAATCCTGAAATAAATCATACTTATGCAAAAATAAAGTTAATTGTACATATGAACTGGAATGATTTAAATATCTTATAAATGGTTTAATTTTCGAAAGCAAATAAAACAACTAGATTTTAAAAAAAGGAAAAAAAAATCTTGCAGATATTATTTTCATTAATATGAATGCACATATATGACTCAAAGACTTACAATTTTAAAATAATATATGAAATGATGTGAGTCCCCAAAGGATATATTTTCTCCCTGCAGGAACCTCCTGATATTAACATTTTCCCAGTCTTGATGGAATTTATTCACTTTGTAAAACTGGTTTAAATACTCCAATGATAATATTTTGAGATTTAAAAACAGGCAATATTTTGTAAGAAAACACCATAAGTAGTACCTGTGAGGAGTCAGGGTATGATTTCATGAGAGTTATTTTTTGGCAGAAGAATAAATTGCATTAGTAAGACCTAGGGAAGCAGATTCAATTAGGACTTGAACTGATTCGCACAGTGTTAGTGGGATTGAGGCTATAGTGATGGACACCATTCTCTTTGCCGGTCCAGGTCCACTTCATATACTTCTTTAGACTTTATTCTGCTCCCTGGCCCTGCTTGCCTGAGCTAACTGGCAGGAGGAAGGAGGGTGCCATGAGCTTGGCGTCCCATTCCTGTGGGTCTCGGTCAGCTCTGCTACCTCCTGTGTAGGTCCCACCCCTGACAGTGCATGTGTCCTTAGCTCTCTTTTTTGTCTTTGGAACCAGAAAGATAATTTACCTGCTTGTTTTGTTTGTTGGTTGGTTGGCTTTTCCTTTATCCAGTTCTTGCCCTACCCATTAGGCATTCTCTTCAGTCGGCTTGCACCTTTGCAAATACTCCTCTAGGAAACTAGGCTCCAATTTGCTCCTCAGTGCCACCTAGGAAACATCTGGGCTCATTGCTGATGTAATCTCAGTGCAAGTTTGTTCATGTGATTTATATTTAAGGAGTGGGCGTGTATGAGAATACTAATCGACAATAGGCAAAAAATTAAGCTGGTTTCACATAGTGATGGATGTTACAAGAAAAAGAAAATGTCAGAATAGATATCTCTGAGAAGCCTTCTTGTGAAAATCTTAGATGGAGGATGCAAAAGAGGAAAAACACATAGAATAAAGGAATCCAATAAGAAGAGTTGAAAAAGGAATCAACTTACAAAAACCAGCACCACCCCGCCTGGCTGCAGCCGAGCAGAGAACAGAACAGGTCTGAAGTGAAGCTGTAGGGAGCCCAGTAAGACAGTGGTTCTCAAAGATACATAAACTGTCTGAGAAGCGTCTCGAAAATTATGTGATCATTTTCGACCGACACAAAAAGGCGATCTTGTCCTGGCACCTATTTGGTGACAGGAATGCAAGTCAACTTTTGAGAGCCTTTTGTAATTCCAAAATCTTTACAGGCCCAGCTGGATCTCAGCACAGCTCTGATAAGATCATCACCATTATTACTGAGTCTATCAGGTAGATTGTTGATAGATGATACATCCCGCTTCTCATTTAAAAACTTCTCATTTAAAAGCATGTAGTGAATGTGTGACTCATGGAGAGAAGGATTTATATAAGGTATGAGGGAGGGTGATATACTCTAGGATTGATAACAAGGCTTCTACTCCAGGAACTAATAAAGATTTCACTGGAAGAAATGAATTCAAAAACAATGTTGAGTCAAAGAAAGGACAACTCAGAAGGTCACTAATCCTGCAGTTTACACAACTGTTCAGTTCCCCTCAGCAGAGTAAGAACCAGCAGGCTTCCCCACCAGGCATCCATGCCTGCAGTCATCTCTTGAGTGGGTGGTGCTCTGCATCCAGCTACTTTACCTATCCCAGAGAACCAGAGCCTCGGTGCTTCCTAAGCTTCTTGGACTCACTCTCTCCCTGATGAGCACCTTTCCAGTGGCAGGGCAGACTAATCGCTGTATTTTTGACTTCGGTCTTTTTCTCTTCTATGAAGTCATTTCAGCCTCACAGCACAACTCCAGGAAGAAAGGGGTACACCCTCGATGGTATGCAGTTACAGCAGGAAGAACGTTTCATTTCTTTGGCATTTTGCTGTTTATCTTCATTCACCACACTAAAAGCTATTACAGGACAGTGAGACCTTTATAATCTTTCATGAAAGTAGTTCACTTTTCCTATTTCTTCTTGTATGACAGAATTGCCTGTTTTCAGTATATGTGTAATAATTAAGTTTTTAGCTTTTAAATATATATATTGAAAAGCAACTTGCATTTTTAGTCTTTTGCCCCTAAACCAGAACATGCAAGAAATTTTTCTTTTATTTTTAGTGAAGTTGTTTGCATATTTCTCTCACACCCTCCCTGCATTCTGAAAATTCCATTTGTACCCGCTTCCTTCTCCCACTGATATTTTGCAAAATGAGTGAGGATTTTTCCTAGCAGAAGACCTTTTTACTCTCCCCAATTCACCTTGTTCTTACCTTGAAGCTACACGTTTAGGGAGGAAAATCTAGGATTTATTCTATTTTTTCTGAAAAAAAAAATCACTTACTACAGGTAGTATAGTAACTCAAGCCTCTTTTCCTTTAAAGTATTCAAGACTTAGAGAAGTCATGGATTCTTTTGTGAGTTTGGGTGAAGAAAAATAAGGGAATGGTTTTATTATCTTCTTACTGAAGATTATAGATACAAGAAGATCCACAGGCCATGTGTCTGTTCTCAGAGAATCAGCTCTCAAGACGAGGTCACTGTGCTCCTCTTCTCTGAAGTCCCCAGAAACTAGGTCCCTCTGACTTCCGTCTTCCCTCAGAGTTCTTGATAATCCCCAGGACCCTTCTTTCACTTGGCCTTTCCTTTCCTGGTCTGCTGCTTCAATGTCCATGGCATTTCCTTGGCGTGCTCATGTGAATTTTCTCTATTGCCTTCACATCTTTTCTCTAAGCTATGTTTACAGGGTTTGCTTGGTCACTTTGCCTCAAAATTTGTGTTAAACTTGTTTCCTATTTCTTCCATGACGATTTAATAGAAATGCAATGACATAAAACCATTCCAGATTATTATGTTGCAGTTCCAAAGATCTGAAATTCAACATTGGCCTTGCTGGGCTA